GGAGTCTGCTTTTTGTTTTTCCAAATGTTGATGAAACTGTGTCTCTCGATTTTTTTTTTTTTTTAAGAGAGAGAGAGAGAATTTTAATATTTATTTTTTAGTTATCGGCAGACACAACATCTTTGTTTGTATGTGGTGCTGAGGATCGAACCCGGGCCGCACACATGCCAGACGAGCGTGCTACCACTTGAGCCACATCCCCAGCTCTCTCTCGATTTGAGAAGCTCAGTTTGTTAAGAGCAGTAGCTTTGATTCTCTCAAAGGCTTGCTGATGGAAGTGCTAGAAAAGGAAGCAAGCAGAGAAATATAAACAGTGTACATGTCCTAAGAACATCTTTGCCAAACAGCTCACACTCACAGAATTCACATTCCAGTGTCATGGAGACTCCTAAGACTGTGTTGGCTGCCTCTTCTTTCACAGTGGCCCTGAGCATCAACCGGAAGCTGTCCCTGCTGGCCATCCTGAGTGGCTTACTGCTGGAGAGCTCCATGGTGTGCCTTTTCCAGAGGCTGGAGTGGGATGTTGGCAGCGACTGTGCCATCTATAAGTCCCAGGACTTCTGAAGGTACGGGCAGCCTCAGGCCTTCCCAGCCTAGGCAGCCTGCACCACCTGGGCACCTCAAGTCTACAGCCCGTGGCTCTGGGCCCTTCACTCGGGTCCACATTCCTCCTCCTGACAGCAGCGTCCCTGCTTGCATTACCTTGGATCCTGCCCTCACAGAGCAGGGTCTGCCCTAAAGCTCAGCCTCTGCAACTGCCTGCAGCCCTCTCTTGCCCTGCCCAACGAGTCCCCTGCCTCCCCACCTGCTTTTCGCTGCCTCCCCACCCGCTCTTCGCTGCCTCTCTTGCCTTGTCCCTTCATTTCCACCTCTCCTCTGCTTTTGGCCTACTCTGCCACTGTTTGCTCGTACCTAGAGCCTGTAGGCAGCGGCCAAGCAGTGCTGCAGCCCTCCAGACACCACACTTCATCTGGTGGCCTGCATCTTCGCCTGTTCTGCTCTTTTCACCCTCTCTTGCAGGCGGCTGTGGCTTCAGCTGCCCTTCTCCTCCATGGGGCATCTTTCCTCTGCCCACTACCTGTGCCCAGCAGTTGGCCTGAGCCTGCCTCTTCCCCACGCTCATGACTCCTGTGTAAAATGTGCTTTCTCAGGCACAGTGGACACACCTATAACCCCAGCCACTCCAGAGCCTAAGATGGGCTGTTGTAAGTTTGAGGCTGTCTTCCAAGATTTAAAGAGAACCTGTCTCAAAAAGTAAAGAGCTCAGGATTTGACTAAGTGGTAAAGAGCCTCTGGATTCAATTCCCAGGACCAAAAATAAATAAATAAAAGAAGGTTCTTTCTCCCAGAGTCTCGGGAATTCTGTGGCCTTAAATTTCCCAAGGCAGCTGGCTGCTGGCTGCTCTTCAGGGTCTTGCTCCTTCTGAAGCAAACCTCCCTTTCCCCTTCTGCCAGGTCTCTTGCCCTGAGTGCCTCCTCTGCCCTCGGCCCTCTTCCTGTCTCTTATGTGCACCTCTGTGCATGTTCCTTCTAGGGCACCCCTGCCAGCTCTTCCTCTTGCCAGGTCACTGGGCACTGTCCATTGCTCCTATGTAATGACCAGATGGGCCTTTCTTCCATTTCCTAAAGTCAGCCAGCCTAAAACTGAACTCCCTGGGATCTGTGCCCCCCAAAATAATGCTTGCTGATGGCTTTCCTCAGGCAGTGCCCCTCCTGTCTCACTCCGCCTCCTGCCTAAAGGCCTTCAGCCTGCTGGTGCCACCTCAGTCCTCCCAGAGCACCAGGCAGGGGTGCCCCTCAGTCTCCTGTCACCTCTTCCTGCTGACCTAGGAGCACCTTTGGTTTCTTCTGGGACGGGGCAGGACCCTGGCACTGCCCGCTGAGGCTCCTCTCTGTGCTCCACCCCCTGCAGGTCTGCTCTCCAGCTCCACTGCTGCCCCAGGAGCCACGCCGGGCAACTGCACTCCTGCTCACTGGTTCCTGCCCACCCATGGCAGCTGTGTTCCCAGGATCTGCCTGGATCAACCCAGTGCTGGCATTTCGTCCCGTTTCACAAGTATTTGTATTTGTCACTGTCAGTGTGATTCACAGTTAGGGAAGCCCTGTCCTGCTATACTTCATCTCCCACCTGCACCCAGGCTCTTGCTGCCCTGCCCCCTCTCGGGGTGCTCTGGAGAGGCCCTGCAGCAGCCCCTCCCGGACTGTCAGCTGCACGTGCCTTTCCAGGACCCCTCCTCTGCCATCTGTGGAAGGCAGGACCGAAGCCAAGCTCTGTCCTGATGAGCAAGTGAAGCAAAGATAAGAGGCGGAGATGTGGAGTAGAAGCCCTCACACTGCAGCCCGCCGGCCAGCAGCAGCCCACTCAGCCAACAGGTCCACTCCTGAGCCCCACACAGGGCAAGGTTTCATCCCTTGGGGTGGTTATGTATTTTCAATTGAAATGTTAAGTTACTGGCTTAAAATGATGATATTTTGTGTTCTTGAAACAGCAGAAACACTTTCCTCTTAATAAAGTCTTTCAACTGAATTTTTAAAAATTTTTAATGTAGTAATTAAATTACTTTTTTAAATTGTCAGATGCAGGGCTGGGGATGCAGCTTAGGGTAGGGTAGAGGGCTTGCCTTAGTATGTGTGAGGCCCTGGGTTCAATCCCCAACCCTGCAAAAAACAAAAAAAGTTTGGGGTTCTAGCTCAGTAAAGCACATGCATGTCCACGTCCTGGGTTCAATCCCCAGCCGTAAAAATAAAAGGTATTTTGACCATCTACAACTAAAAAAAAAAAAAATTTAAGTATTTAGAAAAAGAAAAAGATACAAAATTAAGTCACTTTTAGATATCCTGCCTTTATTAAAAACCATGAGCACTCCAGCCACCTGGAAGTCCTGCCTCATCCGCAGCCATTGACGAGCTGTCCTACAAATGGACGGAGTCCACTGCTTGCTCTTGAGTTTCAGCAGAGCTGAGAACCAGCAGGGGAAATGCACAGGAGGCGCACACGGCAGACTGACACGGCCATGGAGACGGACAGAGGCCTTTTGTTAAAGGCTTCCTCCAGCAGTGTTTGGAGCCTCTGAACCACATTGGGGAGAAAACAACATGGTGTATGTTTGCCAAAGAAAGAATATTGCAGCTATTACAAGACAGAGGCACGAATCAGGAAATCCGAAGACAGTTTTATAACCAGTCTTAGAATGGCTAAAGGATCTGCTCAAGGTCACAAGTGACCAGATTGGGTCCTTTTTAGTCTGTGCCTAGGCTAATACAGGGCCCCTAATGTTGGCCTGTTGGTAGTCTAATGGTGGCTCTCTGAAAGTTGGTATGAAGAAGGAATGCTTACCGGTCTTCAAATATAGTACAGGAAGTAAAGAATAAAAGACCTCTTTCCTCCTGTTTTTGTGCCGGGGACTGAACCCAGGGGTGCTCTACACTGAGCTGCACTCGAGCCCTTTTACTTTTTTGAGACAGGGTTTCGCTAATTTGCTCAGACTGGCCTACAATTTGTGATCTTCCTGATGCAGCTTCCTGAGTCCCTAGGATTACAGGGGTATGCCACTGTGTCCAGCTAAAAGGGTTTTTAAAAAAATGAGGAATCCAATAACTGGAACCACATCTAAATACACCTTAGGGTTAGGCTCTGACAGCCCCTTTTCTGCAGGAACACCTGAGACCCTTGAAGGTTACAATATGCCTTCCTGATATCTAACTATAACCTGTCATTCTAAAATTGGGAACAGATTCTGAAGGGGAAAGTTTTTAACTTCAGACTAAGTCTCAAATATTTTCTGGCTCCTGAAGGGCCAACAGAGGGAAAACAGTACCAAAGCAAAAGACCTGGCTGCCCCAAACAGGATTCTGCTTCCTTATTTCTACTTAATGACTGTGTATACTGCTTTGTGCCAGGCACTAGTCAGAAGCCCTGAAGACGCCTGTGATTAGCTCACCTGCTTCTTGGGAGCCATCAGGAAATGCTGAGAGGGTGGGGAGAGAACAGCCTCAGGTCAGCAGGTGTTGCCACCTACGGGTAGGCCAGGGAGCTGCTGCCCAGGACTCCGCGTTTGGTGGCTCTGGCTGCCACAGCAAATGACCACACTGCGTGTCTTAAAGCCACCCGTGATGCTCCCACCCCTGGAGGCAGAAGTTCAGAGTCGGTTTCACTGGGCCCAGTGGAGGTGTCGGCAGAGCCAAGCTTCCTCTGGAGGCTCAGGGAGAACCTAGGCTTCCTCGCTGCTGTCGCCCCCTCACCCTCGGCTAGCCGCTGCAGCACTCCAGCCTCTCCCACCCCCACAGGGCACCCCATCGTGTGTCAGGTGTCCCTCTACTTCCCATAAAGCACCTGTGATGGCATTGAGGACCCATGTGGGTAATGAGAACAATCTCCCCACATCAAGATTGCTGAAGACCCTGCAAAGGCCCTTCCACCAGATAAGGTCCCGTCTACAAGTTCCTGAGACTCCTTGACTAGGCATCTTTGGGGGACCAGTTTTCAACCTGCCACAAAACCATTTGGCTAACAGGGGCTCCCCCACAGTGACACCCCCTTTCAGGTTTGGGCAGGACTCCTATGGAGACAGCCTTTATCTGTGACCTCATCAAAGGATAGGAAGGCAGACATCAGGGCAATACAAGGAGCCCTTTGCCAGGCAGCCTGCAACGAAGCGCACCGCCCTCCTGGAGCTGCCAGGCCTCTGGGCTGCCCTGGACCACATGTCTGCACCAGCCAAGAGGCAGACTTGGCGCAGCTCTGAAGATTCCCTTGCAACATCCACAGAATGCTGTTGAACCCCTCCCAGTTTCCCAGAAGACACCTGGCACGGACAAACCCAGCAGGGATGCCAAGCAAGCACCTGCCCAGAGGTGAGCCTCTACCTTCTGTCCCTGGGCTGTGCCTTGAACTCCTTACAGCATGCCCCCAGTCGTGCTGAATCCCCCAACTTCCCTCACCTGCCCTGCCCTCCCTCCTGCCCCTCTGGTCCTGACTTCCAAGCCAGGACTTCTGACTTTTAAAAGCATTTTATTGTGTTGTGTGACTTTTTATAAAGCAGAATTAAATAACTTTGGAAGCAAAGGTGGCATGTTGGTGATCCCAGTCCACTTAAGATAAATGAGTGTTCATGGGTTGCCCCCCTCTGCACTGGAGCACTGCCCTCCCGGGAACAGGCTCCAGCTCCCTCCAGAGATGGCAGAGGAGCTCCGTCCCCAGAGATACACAGATGCACAGTCACCACCTGCCAAGGAACCATGGGTGCCAAGGGGTGCTGCCAAAGCCTACACAGTCTTGTTGAAGCTCCCCAGTTGATCCTCAACATGGTCAGGCTGACCTAAGTGCTAACTCATGGTGAAGAAGGGTCAGCCTCAGAGACATAGGATCCTACAAGTGACCTGCTGCTTTCGACTTCCTGTCTTCGCAGAATCATCTTGTCAAAGGGTGAAGGCAACTTACTGGCACCCTTACGGTAACTACTGTCAGCAGAGGAACTGAGCAGGGTGCCTTCTGCCAGTGTGGCCCAGTTCCTGAGACCTGGCATGCTCTGCTCCTAAGTCAGGCTGTACTTCCCAGCACCATCCTGAAGGAGGCACCAGCGAGCACTCATCACACTGGAAGGAAGAAGGCAGGAGACTGGACAAAGTCCAGACCTTGCTACAGATGGTGGCCTGCTACTAATAAGAGGGCTGCTGAAGCTCAACAGAGGATGGAAGCTGTTTTGAGATGCATTTAACAGCAAGGAACACTGCTTTTCTTTCCACACATGTTTGTTTGGAATAGCATTCAGGTCATGAAAGTGGATTATGCATTGGATTCTGCATTGAAAACAAAGTAACACACAACACAGTTTGGGCATTTTATCCTTGTGTTTAACAGTGTAGTTCTCATAAAGTATTTTAATAAATATATGAAGGCTCAAGGTAACCACTGCTTGGAGGGGAGGGTGGTTTGCTTTCCACATACTAGTTTACGTTCAGGGTCATTTAAAATGAACACAGTCGCCATCCAGCGACTATGCAAACACTGGCCTGCCCAGGTTTGGTTTTTTTCCCACTCAATGTATCTTGGTATTATCTTCCTTCCTCCTATACCAGAGGGACAAAATGACCAAATTCTAGTAGGCTGTGAGAATGCCATGATGGCTGAAGCGGAAACGTTTGTCTTCTCGATAAAAGGCTTCCCTGGAGTCACCTGGACCATCAGTGATGTGGCCTGAAAATAAAGCTGAACAAAGAGGCTCCACCACTTGTTAAACAGCAAGAAGTGCTGCTGGCTAGGCTGGGGAAGGGGCAGAGGAATGGCTTCATCCATCCCCAAATGGAAGCATGACCCTCACGGAGGAGGTGCCAGTGACCTGTCTGTAAGGAATGACTCAGGCCTCTTGCAGGGCCTCTTGCAGGGCCTCTTGTCCCATGAACCTCCAGCAGGGGTGTCTACACCCAGCACAAGCTGCCAAAGCATTCTCAGTACCTCGGGGTCACCCAAGCAGACCACCACTGTGCAGCAATGGACTCCCCTCGAGTCCCACGTGGCCGAGGACTGTCCACAGTGGACAGGCTAAACACATTCTTGCAAGAAGAGCAGCAGATGCTGACAGTGGGTCCAGTTTGAAGCCACCACCACCCGAGGCCTTAGATGGACTCCAGAATCCAGTCACTGCCAGAGAGTTGGGGCACAGGCAGGGGCAGGCTCCCAGGAGGGCCTCCATCCTGGCCTTCACGAAGGGAGCTCTGGTCCTGGAAACCCTCTTCTTCCTCATCAGAGAAGCCGTTCTCCAGTGCACATGAGCAGTCAGGGCTGGAGGCTGCCTGGCACGCACCCTTGTACTCCTGAATCGACTCGTAGAGGCTGTACAGCTGGCAGAGCAAAGATACGTCCAGCTGCCGGAGGCCAACCTGAGGGAGGGCGGGAGGCAAAACAAGTCAGCACGACCGGCCAGCTGTCTGCCGAGGCTAGCTCAGTCCTCCCACACAGGAATAGAGCCGCATCACGCGGACACTGGGGACTCCAGTTTGGAGAACACCTTCCCTGTGTCAGTCCCATCCACAGCCTGGGGAGGAGCGCTGCTGTGAGGTGGTGAGCCCAGCCTGCAGAGATTGCTGTGGCACTCCAGCTGGCTGAACCAGGCACACCAAGCAGGTCATTTCCTCCCAGCCACCAGACTCAGAAGACCCTCATTTGCTTTCCCTGTCATTATGTCAGGATCTGAGCGCCACAGTCACAGCTCCAGGGGTTGGAATGCAGCCACCCCATAGCATCCAACTCCAAACCAGCTCAGCCCCAGGTTTACCAGAGGACATTTGGAAGCCAAACACCCTCTGCTCCAGACAATGGTTGTGGGATCCCTCCCCAAAGCAACCAGCTGACCATGAAGAAACCCAGTAACAATGGGATATGACTCAGCCATAAAAAAGAATGACTTTGAGCTGGGCGCAGTGGTACACACCTGTATCCCAGCAGCTCTGGAAGCTGAGGCAGGAGGATTGTGAATCCAAAGCCAGCCTCAGCAAAAAGCAAGGCACTAAGCAACTCAGTGAGACCCTGTCTCTAAATAAACTACAAAATTGGTCTAGGGATGTGGCTCAGTTTTCTTGTGCCCTGGTTCAATCCTGGTACTCCCCCCCCACATACACAGGCAAAAAGAATGACTTTATGACTTTTTATGGTAAATGAATGATCTGGAGACGATCATGCTTAGTGAAATAAGTCAATCCCCCCCAAAACTAAAGGCTGAATGTTTTCTCTGATATGTGAATAAGGTGGGGAGTAAAGAACAGAAGTTCATTGGATTAGACAAAGGGGAATAAAGGGAAGGGAGGGGACGGAATAGGAAAGACAGTGGAATTATTAGATATAACTTGGGCTGAGGTTGTGGCTCAGAGGTAGAGCGCTCACCTACCATGTGTGAAGCCCTGGGTTCGGTCCTCAGCACCACATATAAATAAGTAAAAATAAAGATATTAAAAATATATTTTACAGGGGCTGGGGTTGTGGCTCAGTGGTACAGTGTTCGCCTCTCATGCATGAGGCACTGGGTTCAATCCTCAGCACCACATAAATGTAAATATATATATGTATATATAATTTTAAAAATTAGACATAACTTTCCTATGTTTATACATGAATACACAACCAGTGTAACTCCACATCATGTACATCACAAGACACAAGAATGTGATCCTAATTAGAATAAATTATACTCCATGTATATATAGTATGTCAAAATACCATCACATATCTAAAAAGAAAATAATTTTTTTTTTAAAGCAGCAGTCTGGTAAGATGCAGCTAACAGCTTCTCCTGGAAACACTTGCCACAAAAACAAGTGGTGGCGGGGACAGCAGCACACACCGGGAATCCCAGCAGCTCGGGAGGCTGAGGCAGGAGGATCATGAGTTCAAAGCCAGCCTCAGCAAATCAGAGAGACCCTGTCTCTAATAAAATATGTTTTTTAAAAAAAGGGCTGGGGGGATGGGGCCATAGCTCAGTTAGTACAGCGCTTACCTTGCAAGCACCAGGCCCTGGATTCAATCCCCAGCACCAAAAAAACAAAATGGCTGGGAATGTGGCTCAGTGGTTAAGCACCTCTGGGTTCAATTCAATCCTCAGTACCAAAAAAAAAAAAAAAAAAAAAACCCAAAACAAGTGGTGACCAAATAAGGGACACATACTTATTTATCTTCAAGTTCCTCCCTTCCCACTGCCCACCCAGGGAAGGCAGCTAGGGTAGGAAAGGTACCATTTCTATCAACCCAAGACAGAAGCTCTTCATGTTCTTGAAAATGCAGGGGAGCCAGCACACTTGGATCCTCAGTGTGCTCAGGAACCACACAGGAACCCTGCCCAACACACAGCTCCATTCAGCAGCTGGGGCTGCTGGAAGCCATGGGCGTCGCTGACCACACCTAGGGGACAGCCCTGAGGATGTGCAAAGCAGGGGAGCCTGGCTTCCGCTCTTAATCCCAGGCCAGCTACTTAGACTCTGCTGGGAGGTCTATATGAAGCCCAGTCCACGTTAATAGACACTGCCTGCATGCTAAGAACCCTTACATATGGACATGTGCTTACAAAGAGGCAGATGGCATGCAAAAATGGCTTCCTTACGCAGCACAAGATTCTCCAGGTAAGAGTTTGACTTTCATAAAGGAAGCTGGAGCCCAGTTAAAAATTGCTATTCTTGGGATGAGATTGGGTGTTAAACTGAAGGTCATTCTTTACACCCTTCAGTCACTCCCAGCCACCAGGCAAACACTGGCTGGCTTCTGAATAGACCAGACATAGCACTGTAGCTGTGGGGATGCACACCTATCCTAGCACTGGGGAGACTGCAGAAGGAGGATTGCAAGTTGGAGGCCAGCCTGGGACTTTATTCAAGATCCTATCTTGAATAAAATAAAAGGGGCAGAGGACGCAGTTCAGTATTGGAGCACTTGTCTACCCTTGCATGCCCAAGGCCCTGGGTCCAACCCCATACAGAAAAAGAAATAAGAAAGGAGCTGGGTTTGCCCAGCCCCCGAGGGCAACCTTCTAGACTTTCAGATAGGCTGTCCTGCTGTCACTCAGGCACCTCATGGGCCTAGAACTCCTGGAGAAGCCTCCCTCAGGCCCAGCTCTTTCTCAGGGGCTTTGCTTAAGTCCACACCCTCGGTGGGTCTGTAACACAAGACCCAGTGCCTGGGTAGACTGTCCTAAGAATCAGCTCCGCCCAGTGGCAGCCTGCCCTCAGGCAGCCTCCCAGGTGAGCAGATAGCAAGCCTGGGGGCACCCAAAGCTGGGTCAAACACAGTGGGTCGCCCTCCTGACTGAAGCCTGGGTATGTACACCTGTCAGGAAGTGCGGGATGCTGGCTTGGAACTTCACTGGTGACTGATATCCATCCCAGCAAAGAACCAGCATCTCCACACAAAGGCCTCTGTCTTTCCTGAGCCACTGACATTTATGCTGCTCCCAGGATGGCATTTGAAGCCACAAACAGAAGAAGAGCAGACTGAAGATTGCCCGCTGGGCAGAACCAGGCTGCCACGACTGCCAACAGTGGACAAAGTGCCCGGCCCTGCCCTCCTACTGTGATGAAGCAGGCGGACCCCCATGTGTATGCAGCTCTACCAGACAGAGCGGGACAGCAGCACTGGGTGGGAAAGCAGCCCAGGCACCCAGAAGTGCCCCGGGCCACCCTGGGCAGGACACGGTCAGTGTAGCAAACAGGATGAAAATCACCAGCAACATGGTACCTGGAGACCCCGGTCAGAAAGGACCTGGATGTTCTGCCTCCGACTCCACAGGCCGACCCTCCAAGCCAATCGAGGCCTCCATCAGCCCTGCTGTGCTGGGTCCTGTCTCCAGCACCCTGGTGCTAGGTGCGACCCCATTGCTCTCTCCCATCTACCCTTTAAATACCTGGAGGCCGGGTTCAGTCCATACCCTTACACCTAACAGACCAGCTAACTCCTCTCTAAGCCAGGTACCTCGGGTACGGCCACTACTTTCACAGGATGCTCTGGTCTGCTGACCACCGAGTCCTTCCTCCAAGCTGGCTCCTGCTTTCAGAGATTCCTTTCGAGATACAGGCCCTGCACACAGATCCTGATTCAGCAAGCCCCAGAGCACTGAACTCCTCTAGGGCTAGAGTGAGGGAACAATGGAACTTTAGCAACACCACACCCACCCAGAGTCACACCAGCAAGACTAGGGACAAGGCTCGCTTCCACTAAGTGACTCTGACACCATCGGGGTGGGGGTGTGAGACTCTACTCCCACCTCAGGGCAGACCAGAGTCACCCAGGATCACCAGCAGCATGCTGACCTCCACCCTCCCAGGGTGCCTGGTGTGCCTGAGGGAGGCAGGAGCCTGGGCTCCAGGGCGAGACGGCCCCTTGGAGAGTGAAGGCTCTGCCTCTCCCCTCCTGTGACCCGGGCCTCCTTTACACGCGTGGTTCCAGGCTTTCCAACGTCTGCCCAGAACCCTGAGTGGGCCCGCAGCAGTGAGCTGGAAGCAAAGGACAGTGCCGGGACCTCTTGGTGCCATAGTACCAGATGACTCAAAGCTGCCCTGTCATGGGTGGGACACTGGCCTAGAAAGGAAGGTGTGACCCGCCCAGGAACACAGGTCCATCCTGCCCATACCTGCAACACAGGTGACCACACGCCAAACACTGGGCCACCAGCAAGGACACACACACCCTGCACACGTCTCCGGGCACCCAGACTTCCCTGACTTAGCAGAAATCCTTGGAAATAGCTATAGGGACAGCCCTGACTTCCTGTCAGGACACCTCCTCCTGCTGGCTGCTGAACATGGTCACTCCATCTTCTCAGGGAGCGGGAACTCGCTGGGCAGCGTTCCATCATGGTCAGATGACTCTTCGGCTGTGTCCCTACTCGCCACTGCACCACATGCACCAGTCAGGTTGAGGCCCCTTCGCCCAGACTAGCCCCAGATGTCCGCTCCACACAGGCCAGAGCCTCTGGGACCACCTGGCCCAGCAGCGGCACCCTGCTGCTAGTGACTGGCTCAGCCAGTTTTCACCCCTTTCCTCCTGGGATGTCTTGGGTCATTCCTGGTTCTCCACCTTATGTTCCAAGTGTGCAGATGGGTCTCCTTCCTCCTGCCACAGGACAAGCTGCTTTAAGGAAGTGACTCACGTCCCTCTGGGAGTCCTCAGCCACCAGCCTGGAGCTTGCAGCATGGACACGCAGATACCAGGTGCCTCAGTGCACACCTGGCTATAGAGAGCTCAGGTTGGCCAGTCCTACCATGGGCTGTGCAGAGACCCTGGCCACACCCCCAGGCAGTCATAGAAGCAGCAGCTGAAGAGGAAGCCCTCTGTGCCCAGTGCACCCCAAGGTGCTCCTACAGAGAGCATCAGGCCTCTGAGTGCCCGCACAGTTCCCATG